GTTGTTTCAAAGGCTCCAGTCAAGGCATCAGTTGCTTGTGAGTGACCAAACTGTGAGGAAAAGACTGCATGAAGCTTATCTTGATGCTCGCAAACCGCTTCGTACTTCTGCACTACGCCGAGGAAGAAGATTACAGTGGGCTCGTGAACATTTGCTCTGGGAAGGTAGCCAGTGGTCTGTAGTGCTGTTTGCCGATGAGTCTCGATTTGGTTTTCATCCTGATTCGCGAAGAGTACGCGTATGGCGATCTCCTGGTCGTGAGAGTCGCCCGCAGCACCCTCAGGAAGTCCATTTATACCATAGCGGGATGATTATGGTTTGGGCGGGAATTCGTGTTGGTGGAAGAACAGACCTCGTTTGGATCAGAAACACCAGGATTGGTGAAAAATACCTCAACAAAATGCTAGTGCCAATAGCCGTCTACCCACATCGACTACAAATGGGTCAAGAATTCACGCTCATGCACGACAATGCACCAGCTGGCTGCAGTCCTATAGAACCCCATAGAACACGCGTGGGACATGCTCCAAAGAAGGACTTTGAGGAATTTACCTACAAACATTGTCACTGAAGAACAACTTTTTTGTATCCCGCAGCAAAACTTTGATAAGTTGGACCGTTGGACCGTTGTTAACGTCATGGGTGGTTTTACTGACTATGGGTTTACGCAAAATTGCAAATAACGGAATAATTTCGCTATATTTTTCACTTTTTCTTGTAAAACGTTTTATCGATTTATACTATGCATATATAGATAGATATATTAAAGAATAGGGTTGTATTCTACATATGAAAATACAGGTTCCTGTTGTTTATTCGGAAAGTCTGATTTCACTTATAAATTAAAAAAAAAAATTTGGAAGATATACACTTTGAAAACTTAAAAAAAGTAGGGAAAATATATTACACAAAAAAACTAAAATACATATTGTACTAATTAAATTACTTACAACAATCGTAACAACTTTCACTATAAGCACTATAAACATACGCACAAATGACAAAGATATTACAAAAATTTACCCAGACGCCCAATACGTTTTTCGGTACTATATCAATAAATACTAAAAGACCGAATAAAATAAATATTTAAGGGGGCAAAAGTGATTTTTTTTGCTCGTTTCCGGGATGGAACACAACGTGCCCGAGTCCGAGTCGTTACTGGACGGTTTTTTTTTTTAGTTCCTAATTCGTAAATGACTTTATTCTGACTTGTTACAATTTCTTTTCAATTCGATATCAATAAATAAATGGTTTATTACTCTGATAAATTTTATTAATAAAAAAATACTATACAATAAATAATAGCTAACCTATTGTAATATTCCAGTGAAGTTAATCCATATCGATAACTAAAATAGAAAAGTATTTGTTTGTATGTTCTGTCCTTGAAAGTCGTGGGAGTATTTATATCTAACATTAGCTTTTGCCCTCGACTTCGCTCGTGTCAAATTGGGGGTAACACGAAAAGAAAATGACAAACGTATTTTTACGTAAGAAGAAAAAGAAGAAACATTCATTGACCTCAATCACACAAACAAATACATTACTATATATGTTTAATAAAGATATAAAACATACCAATACCATTATTAATAAACAACACAGTAATAACAATTACAGAGGTCAATCAGGGCCCTGCCTCAGCTTGTGTTGTCCTGAGACACACGTCACGGAAAGTCCAATAGAAAATTCCACCCCCTCTTTTAAGGGATGGGAAGCAGATTTCCAAAAACAAATAGATGCACATCCGTTATCTACAAAGAGTCCGTATACCAAGTTTTAACTTTTTGCCCTGAAAATTGTGGAACGCTCTGAACAAACTTCCATCCCCTACTTTAGGGGGATGGGGGTATAGTAGGAAAAAAAATGTAGCCCTTCACTATCTCCATTTAAAAAATCACACTAATCCGTTTCTCCGTTTTAACGTGAAAGACAGACAAACAAATACACTTACATATTTATAATATAAGTATCGGTGCTATTTATATGCAGCAGACTATTTAAATGAAGTGTTCGGACCATGGAGCTAATACAAAGAGGAGATGGCCTAATGAGATTTGCCTATATAACATTGCGTGACATTTTGCGGGATGAGGGGAACCTATGCTCCGCCCACTTTTTTAATCTCCATCTACCGGTAAAGAGCAAAATTATTAGCTTTATTCCATATCGATGTTACTAATTAGTTCAGCTACTTCATACTAGATGTCGCAAGAGTAGAATACTCAGGGACGTACTCAGAATTTCCGTACCAAGGTGTGAATTTAATTAAAATATTTTTTTTGAACACTATTTTGATTGACCTTTTTACCCGACTGCGTGTCACAAACGAGGGTAACGTTTTATCGCTCTATCGTCGCTATAGTGGTGAAAAGAGCTAAAACACACAAATGACATTTAAAGCAATGAATAAAAATATTAAGACAGGGCTAAAAAAATAAAAAATATTTTAAAACAAATCTTTATTGGTTTAATCAAAATATCCATAATGATCTGTACTAATGTAAATCAAATAATTACGAAGACGACTTCTTTGGTTCGTTAGTACATCATACCTTCAATGAATGAACATAAGTCTATTTCGGTAACTCAATTACCTGCAAAAATAACTGTTTTGGTCAGTTGTTGTCGGTTTGTTGTCCTATCATTTTCTATGGTTGCAAAATGCTTAAAACGAATATCAATATATTTTTCAGCTATAGATTTCATCAGCAATATAATATGATTATCAGTAGGCGACTGGTCAAACATATGTATATTCGATTGTTTGAAATAATCTTGTCCAATAAGGGACTTTAAAGTATTCAGTACAATTTTATGTTTACGTAAATTAGAATTATTCCAAGATTGTGATTTGAAATAACGTATGTTGCATTCGGTTCGTATACATATATTTATAACATCTTTAGATGGAAAAGTAAGACCACCTTTATTTTTAGTTTTTATCAAATAAAGATCGTCATCTTCGTAGTTATCAGCATATAATTGTTGAAGGCAGCTCTCACATTTGATCTTGGAATGTAAATAATTGACTACATATCCAGAAATATATGCAATTATTTGACGGCGCAAATAATTACCTATTGTTGCATTTAACTGCTCATCAAATTCCAATAACAAACTATGGGTCGTGGGCTCCACATACATTCCTAATGCTTCTTCGCTCAGGTCGTTTTTCAAAATTCGATAACGTTCTGAAGTAATGTTAATTTTTTTTACAGAGGATTCGTTCAAAATCGAAATATCCTCTAAAGGAATACAATTTCCTCTAAAACCCTCTTTCAGTTCTGTATTAATTAGAATTTTTTTGTAAGCTGCTTTGAACTGACGTGAGGTTGGGTTATTATTTGCTCTTCCATGTGCCCTTATTACCCCAAAAAAGAGTTCCAAATGATCTTGCGAAAATTTGTACAGTGTAAGATATTTTAGTATCTTTTCTTTTTCAATGAGGCGGTCGTATAAGAAAAGTGTACTGCTGATACATGTCAAAAGACCTATAAAACCAGTTTTTCGGTTCGTAGCAATAACAGGTATATTTTCATCGGGTACTACTAAAAACTGCAAGTAAAATTTAGCATATTCTAAATACTCTTTAGTTTTCAAAATGTTCTTTTCAAATAAGGGCTTTTTGTATTCTAACTGACAAATGTTTCGAGAGTTCAAAATTTCAAAGATATTATTAATTAAGCGGATAAAAATAATTGTTGCCGACGCATTTTTAAATTCAAATTTAAATTCTTTACAAACGTGAAGTGCGTCTGCAACGCTATAACTGAAAAGCTGACTAGCTAATTTTACTTTCATTTTTTGTTGATGAAAATTTATGTGCTTCTCTTTTAACTTGTTTCCAAGATGGAGCCCTTCAGACTTTTGTAGGTTATTAAGCTTGACAAGATAAGACCATTCAATATTATTGCCCTGATAATCAAGAAAAGTCTTTTTATTTTCAAAGGCGTTGCGCACTAGCTTAAGCATATGGCATGCGTCGAGGAATACTGCTACTTCGTAGTAAGCACTGGGATGTTTAAAGGTAGTCTGCATGTTCTGAGGTTCTAATGAACATCCTAACTTTTTAAGCATAGCCATATTTGCAGCGCAACCGTCCACCGTAAGTGAAACAACGTCTACGCCATTTTCTTGACATTTGTAAAGGCATTGTTGAACGATCGAACACCGTTGTTCCCCGGTCATAGAATGAATTAGAAAGAATCCTATAGGTAATTTCCACCGTTCAGTTTGAGATACAAGTAACAGAACTAAAGCCTGGGATGCGTGATCCAAATTATCCTTTTGCACGTTATTAAGCCCGAAATCAACATAACCGTGATATTGGTTTCCGTCCCATTCAACGTGCTTCTTAATAGCCATCTCATCCATCATAAGACTGCACAAAGCACGTTTGCCTGAAGAATCGGTTTTGTGCTTTAATATGTTAAAAGCTTCAGCTGTAAATCCAGCTTCACCATTAACACTTTCATACCATTTAGAAATGGTTCTCGGATGTGGTAGACATGTATCGAAAGTTTTTCTGACGTATGAGTACGCATTTGGGGAAAAATAATAAAGTGTTAGAGCGAATGATCTGAGGGCTGGAGAATACTTCTTCTTCAAAGCAACGTTTTTAATTTTTGATAACTGACGCCCGACCAAGTCTTTTAACTTAACATTTATTGAAGACAAAATTTCGGCGTCCTCTCCAAGCAGCAAATGTTTCTTTTCCAACTCTTCAATTAATGCAGTTAAATTTTGAACCTAAAATTAAAGTGAAAACATATTGGATTGAGAAAAAAAAGATCTAAAGTTAGTGCATGAGATGAAAATACCTTACGCGCGTCTCTTAATAACATCTTAGGTTCGTCATACCATAATTAAGGACTACACTCGACTGCGGACGAATGCGGCGAGATGAATAAAGACGAGGGAAGCTGCTATTGCACCTTACCAGAAACTTGAACTTGCGCGCAGATAAATTGTATGCTACTAGAATGTGTAGGTACCTTTTTTTTCAAACGTTTAAGTTTCATTTGAAGTCTTCTGATTTTTAATCCATCTTTTTTTGCTTTCCATCGAAGTTGCTCTATTTCTTGCTTCAACTTTTTTTTCTTGGGCGTATCGTGTAGTATCAAAAATTCATTCAAATCACTTGTGGTAGGCTCGAGTGATGGTATTGTAGGCTCCAATAACCTTCTATTAACCTGTAATATAAGAATAAAACAAATATAATATTTTAAAATTAACTTGTTCTTCCAAAAAACTGAAAATTGTTTTTTAATTACAAATTGCATTGTAACGAACCGATATATCCAGTTTTAAAGAAGGTAAAGTTCCCTTCTTTAATTTTCTAAGACCTTTTTTTGTCATGACAAAGTCTTCTTCATTAAAATGGCAAGAACAAATTTTTGTATACTTTGTTGGAGTCCAGTCTCGTCTATTAATTTTTGTCATCCATTGTTGTTTAAGATTATCATCCGATGGAAATCTGCAACACAATTTAAAATCAAATAACCTAGAATAACTTTTTTGTGTAAATACTAAATATTTTATTTAAAGTAAGTTTTATTTTATTAATAACAAAATGACTGTTTCGTTAAGCAAAACTTTTTAAGTATTTCCAATTTATGTTATAAGACTTTGCGTTCCTCGGTAAAATTATAGGAATCTAATTACAACCCTGTCTTTTCTAACTTCTATGTTTACGTAGCGTTGGCCGCCATCTAGTGTTAAATGGATTAATTATATTTGGACGCCTACTTAAATTGTTCTGGAACTTTTAATAAATTACGTATACAATTACTTACACATGAAATGTAATGCCATCCATAGCATCAGATCGTCTATCCGAGTAGTTTTTACAAGATAAAACGCAACACTTCATAGTTTTCTTCTTAGTAATACAAAACTACACTAAATATGCTAATGTCAATCACGTGGACCTCACAATACCAACACGGACGAACGCTGGCAGCATACTAACCTAAGCCACGCCTACTTTGATGACGTCAGGACCTACTTGAGAATCACAGTGCACAGTTGCTTAGGCCATCTCCTCTTTGTATTAGCTCCATGGTTCGGACAGAGGGACAGACGGAGGCGCGGACAGGCGGACAGGCGGACAAACGGACAGACAGCGAAGTCTCAGTAATAAGGTTACCCGTTTTACCCTTTGGATACGGTACCCTAATAACTCATGTAATATTCTTTTTCTTGAAGATCACAACATTTTCCTGCGTTTTGGTATAAGGTAAATAGCTTTGGTAGTATTGTTAAAGTCCAAATAATTCTATAATTAAATAAACTCATTAAAAGTACTTACGAAAGAAACCGGTGGGCTAAATGTTTATAATCTATCACAATCACTTTGAGTTTGACATTTGAAAGATATTTACCAACTGTACGATACAACTATTTTATTTTTGATGATAGAAATTACCATGGAGCTAATACAAAGAGGAGATGGCCTAAGCAACTGTGCACTGTGATTCTCAAGTAGGTCCTGACGTCATCAAAGTGGGCGTGGCTTAGGTTAGTATGCTGCCAGCGTTCGTCCGTGTTGGTATTGTGAGGTCCACGTGATTGACATTAGCATATTTAGTGTAGTTTTGTATTACTAAGAAGAAAACTATGAAGTGTTGCGTTTTATCTTGTAAAAACTACTCGGATAGACGATCTGATGCTATGGATGGCATTACATTTCATGTGTAAGTAATTGTATACGTAATTTATTAAAAGTTCCAGAACAATTTAAGTAGGCGTCCAAATATAATTAATCCATTTAACACTAGATGGCGGCCAACGCTACGTAAACATAGAAGTTAGAAAAGACAGGGTTGTAATTAGATTCCTATAATTTTACCGAGGAACGCAAAGTCTTATAACATAAATTGGAAATACTTAAAAAGTTTTGCTTAACGAAACAGTCATTTTGTTATTAATAAAATAAAACTTACTTTAAATAAAATATTTAGTATTTACACAAAAAAGTTATTCTAGGTTATTTGATTTTAAATTGTGTTGCAGATTTCCATCGGATGATAATCTTAAACAACAATGGATGACAAAAATTAATAGACGAGACTGGACTCCAACAAAGTATACAAAAATTTGTTCTTGCCATTTTAATGAAGAAGACTTTGTCATGACAAAAAAAGGTCTTAGAAAATTAAAGAAGGGAACTTTACCTTCTTTAAAACTGGATATATCGGTTCGTTACAATGCAATTTGTAATTAAAAAACAATTTTCAGTTTTTTGGAAGAACAAGTTAATTTTAAAATATTATATTTGTTTTATTCTTATATTACAGGTTAATAGAAGGTTATTGGAGCCTACAATACCATCACTCGAGCCTACCACAAGTGATTTGAATGAATTTTTGATACTACACGATACGCCCAAGAAAAAAAAGTTGAAGCAAGAAATAGAGCAACTTCGATGGAAAGCAAAAAAAGATGGATTAAAAATCAGAAGACTTCAAATGAAACTTAAACGTTTGAAAAAAAAGGTACCTACACATTCTAGTAGCATACAATTTATCTGCGCGCAAGTTCAAGTTTCTGGTAAGGTGCAATCCTCGTCTTTATTCATCTCGCCGCATTCGTCCGCAGTCGAGTGTAGTCCTTAATTATGGTATGACGAACCTAAGATGTTATTAAGAGACGCGCGTAAGGTATTTTCATCTCATGCACTAACTTTAGATCTTTTTTTTCTCAATCCATTATGTTTTCACTTTAATTTTAGGTTCAAAATTTAACTGCATTAATTGAAGAGTTGGAAAAGAAACATTTGCTGCTTGGAGAGGACGCCGAAATTTTGTCTTCAATAAATGTTAAGTTAAAAGACTTGGTCGGGCGTCAGTTATCAAAAATTAAAAACGTTGCTTTGAAGAAGAAGTATTCTCCAGCCCTCAGATCATTCGCTCTAACACTTTATTATTTTTCCCCAAATGCGTACTCATACGTCAGAAAAACTTTCGATACATGTCTACCACATCCGAGAACCATTTCTAAATGGTATGAAAGTGTTAATGGTGAAGCTGGATTTACAGCTGAAGCTTTTAACATATTAAAGCACAAAACCGATTCTTCAGGCAAACGTGCTTTGTGCAGTCTTATGATGGATGAGATGGCTATTAAGAAGCACGTTGAATGGGACGGAAACCAATATCACGGTTATGTTGATTTCGGGCTTAATAACGTGCAAAAGGATAATTTGGATCACGCATCCCAGGCTTTAGTTCTGTTACTTGTATCTCAAACTGAACGGTGGAAATTACCTATAGGATTCTTTCTAATTCATTCTATGACCGGGGAACAACGGTGTTCGATCGTTCAACAATGCCTTTACAAATGTCAAGAAAATGGCGTAGACGTTGTTTCACTTACGGTGGACGGTTGCGCTGCAAATATGGCTATGCTTAAAAAGTTAGGATGTTCATTAGAACCTCAGAACATGCAGACTACCTTTAAACATCCCAGTGCTTACTACGAAGTAGCAGTATTCCTCGACGCATGCCATATGCTTAAGCTAGTGCGCAACGCCTTTGAAAATAAAAAGACTTTTCTTGATTATCAGGGCAATAATATTGAATGGTCTTATCTTGTCAAGCTTAATAACCTACAAAAGTCTGAAGGGCTCCATCTTGGAAACAAGTTAAAAGAGAAGCACATAAATTTTCATCAACAAAAAATGAAAGTAAAATTAGCTAGTCAGCTTTTCAGTTATAGCGTTGCAGACGCACTTCACGTTTGTAAAGAATTTAAATTTGAATTTAAAAATGCGTCGGCAACAATTATTTTTATCCGCTTAATTAATAATATCTTTGAAATTTTGAACTCTCGAAACATTTGTCAGTTAGAATACAAAAAGCCCTTATTTGAAAAGAACATTTTGAAAACTAAAGAGTATTTAGAATATGCTAAATTTTACTTGCAGTTTTTAGTAGTACCCGATGAAAATATACCTGTTATTGCTACGAACCGAAAAACTGGTTTTATAGGTCTTTTGACATGTATCAGCAGTACACTTTTCTTATACGACCGCCTCATTGAAAAAGAAAAGATACTAAAATATCTTACACTGTACAAATTTTCGCAAGATCATTTGGAACTCTTTTTTGGGGTAATAAGGGCACATGGAAGAGCAAATAATAACCCAACCTCACGTCAGTTCAAAGCAGCTTACAAAAAAATTCTAATTAATACAGAACTGAAAGAGGGTTTTAGAGGAAATTGTATTCCTTTAGAGGATATTTCGATTTTGAACGAATCCTCTGTAAAAAAAATTAACATTACTTCAGAACGTTATCGAATTTTGAAAAACGACCTGAGCGAAGAAGCATTAGGAATGTATGTGGAGCCCACGACCCATAGTTTGTTATTGGAATTTGATGAGCAGTTAAATGCAACAATAGGTAATTATTTGCGCCGTCAAATAATTGCATATATTTCTGGATATGTAGTCAATTATTTACATTCCAAGATCAAATGTGAGAGCTGCCTTCAACAATTATATGCTGATAACTACGAAGATGACGATCTTTATTTGATAAAAACTAAAAATAAAGGTGGTCTTACTTTTCCATCTAAAGATGTTATAAATATATGTATACGAACCGAATGCAACATACGTTATTTCAAATCACAATCTTGGAATAATTCTAATTTACGTAAACATAAAATTGTACTGAATACTTTAAAGTCCCTTATTGGACAAGATTATTTCAAACAATCGAATATACATATGTTTGACCAGTCGCCTACTGATAATCATATTATATTGCTGATGAAATCTATAGCTGAAAAATATATTGATATTCGTTTTAAGCATTTTGCAACCATAGAAAATGATAGGACAACAAACCGACAACAACTGACCAAAACAGTTATTTTTGCAGGTAATTGAGTTACCGAAATAGACTTATGTTCATTCATTGAAGGTATGATGTACTAACGAACCAAAGAAGTCGTCTTCGTAATTATTTGATTTACATTAGTACAGATCATTATGGATATTTTGATTAAACCAATAAAGATTTGTTTTAAAATATTTTTTATTTTTTTAGCCCTGTCTTAATATTTTTATTCATTGCTTTAAATGTCATTTGTGTGTTTTAGCTCTTTTCACCACTATAGCGACGATAGAGCGATAAAACGTTACCCTCGTTTGTGACACGCAGTCGGGTAAAAAGGTCAATCAAAATAGTGTTCAAAAAAAATATTTTAATTAAATTCACACCTTGGTACGGAAATTCTGAGTACGTCCCTGAGTATTCTACTCTTGCGACATCTAGTATGAAGTAGCTGAACTAATTAGTAACATCGATATGGAATAAAGCTAATAATTTTGCTCTTTACCGGTAGATGGAGATTAAAAAAGTGGGCGGAGCATAGGTTCCCCTCATCCCGCAAAATGTCACGCAATGTTATATAGGCAAATCTCATTAGGCCATCTCCTCTTTGTATTAGCTCCATGGAAATTACGATGTCAACGTGTTTATTTGAAAGATATTGAATGAAAGATGAGGTTTATATGACGTTAATCGGAATGAAGAAGTATGCTAAGAAAAAAAAGAAAGCCCTAAAAAGCACCTCACTAGTTGGCGGCTCTAGTAAAAGTTGATTTTTGCAGACAATGAATGGACCAAAGATAATCATTTCCAATCCTTTTCATTTATAAAAAAAACTGAAATTAGTAAAATTCGAAACATAGATATCAGTATAAATACGAAAATGTACAAATAGAATATGTGTTGTTTATTGAGTTTTGAAAATTTATTTACTATTTACTATACATGAAAGAAAACCGGAATGGTTGTCATAGAGAAATCAAGAAAGTAACGTAGCGGCATCTAGTTTGATTTCGGGAACTAATGTTTTTTTTTTAAATATATTGGCAAATATCAAACGAAATGAATTGTCTACGACGTTTATATAATTCAAATATTTATTCCAAAAGCTATTGTGAATTTAAAAGTTACACAATTCCATAAATTACTATCACGAGTACAACCTCTTTTTTATACGTTTAAAAGGATCGTGATAGATTTAAAAATTAGAAAATTAGGCAACAGGTCAATAGTTTAGAAGCCTATTCTGCAAACAAACTAACAAATCTATCTCTTTACAATGTTATTACACACTAGATGTTTTCACGCGACTTCATCCACGTAAATTATAGCTTATCTCTCCCGAATTTTTAAAAACGGTCCATTTGTAGTTGCAGAAATAATATTCGTTATCGCACTTTTGTAGGATAGATTACAAAGAATAGATAAAAATATCAAAGACAGCTCAAAAAAGCCTTACTACAGCAGCAATCTCATCTAGGCAATCGATAGTGATAAAGAAAAATGTATTTTCATATATATCGAACTAAATTAAATAATATTAGGCTGAATATATCATATTAAATTACATAATAAAGAAAAATGCAAATTAAAAAGCAAACACTTACCAAATGTCAAATTTTCGCGCCCAATATTATGACGAAGGAATATGGCGCGCGGCCAGTCAGTCAGTCATGAATGCACTGCTTGATATTGCGAATGAATTTTAACTTTTATGGGATGGGGACGGAGCGATATAACACCTTGTTTACGTTTTGTTTTTTTTCTTCATCCCGCGAACCATTTTTAAATTTGTAATTCGAACCGTTGAATATTACATGATGTTCTCGCTATTCCGAAATGATTAAATTAAATAAATATAATGGGCCTTCTTATTAATACTTTAATATATTTGGGAACTTTTTGGTGTTTTTATCTATGATATTCAAACTTTTTATATAGGAACAATGTAAAGTTGCATTACATTGGTCCTTAAAAAAAGTATTATATCTATCTATATATTTATCCTGAATAGTTAAATAGCAAAGGTATGTAGTATTTTTAAAATATTTTGCGATTTTATTTGCGGTACTGATTTAATTATCTAGGATTGTAATTTTTTTCTTGTCATTGTGATGGAAAATTACTGCTTTAATTAAGGACTCATATCTTAATTAAATATATCGCACACCTAGATCTAAACTGAGACAACTCAAAATTTTGAGTGAGTTTTGACTTAGTACAATATTCAAATTCTCGGTGATCTTACGCATCTATCCAACATAACAGATTCAATAAAGGTTCGGGGATGAGCCGCTAGATAACTTAGCTTTCTTTTGTTGAATCAATAGTGGTCGCGCTCCTGCCACGTAAACAAATGTATTGTCAAACCTCCAAATTAGTTTTTTGAGTTGTCTTAGTTTAGATCTAGGTGTGCGATATGTCCTCAAGATATTTTGAACTGACTAGTTTTAGCCGGCAGTTTCGCCCGATTTTTATATAATACTTGCTTTTGCCCGCAACTTCGTTTTATTTTACAGTAGTTTTTTTTTCGATTGCATTACCATTTTGAATAATTTGGTGAATAAAGGTAAATCAATATCTCAATTTGCAAATAAACAATTCTAAACTTTAACTGTAATAAAACTTCAATGTTTCTTAAAACATATAACCTCTTTAAAGGTAAGTTTTATTTTTCATTTTTTTTTTAAATTTGAAGTCGGTTCCATTTTCTTTTTAAAGTTTTTATTTCATGCATTTTAGTGATATTTTGAGTTTTGGGGTAACAAAACATCGAT